AGCATGGGTATACGCAGCCTGCTTCCGCATGTGCACACACTAGCACCACTGCCGTGCGCCTACCCGTTTGCGTGTGCATGTGCACAGGCCACCGTACGTGAGTAAAAGGATGAGAAGGGAAAGGGAGACCCGGCGGTTCGACCTTTCCAACCCCTTGAGACTATATTAGATAAGGTAACTCCAGTTACGTTAATTTTCCTGTTTGTAAGAGTCTCGTTAGCAATAAACACTTTAAATTCATGATTACTTTATAAGACTTTAACATAAAGGGTAATGACTATTTGGAAAGGGATAATTCCACCACAAAATTTATATGGATGTGTCAATTAAATCATCAGAAGCTGAGTTCAAGGAAATTGAAAGAATGAAAGAATCTAACTTCCATCTTCCATCAGAGAGAAAGAGAAGGCAAGATACATTTAAAAGAAACCATGAAACCATTACTTTTTCAAATAAATATTGCAGACTTCCACAAAAGTCACAGCCTTAACCCTTTTGAAAGCTATGTCACCATAAAGAGATCAACCTAACCTAAAGTTACTGATCTGCCAGTCTCAAAGAAATCCACAGAAGTAGCACAGAAGTAAAGCCAGTTTCTCTCCAAGAAACACAATGGTAACATTTTTAACACTGCAGTCTGAAAAAGAAAATTTCCCAGAACCATTACTGATGCTTCAGTATCTACTTATTTGCAAAAATAACTAGTAATTAAGAGTAAAATTCAAGAGATCATGAAGTTTTATTCAAACTATAAAGCCTCTAAGTAGCTCAGCTTAAATTGCTCTAAATCAATTTAAAAAATAATGTAAATTTACAACTTTAATTTTTAAAGCTAATCATGAAAATGATTATCCTAAAAAATATAGATAAATGACATCTACAATCAGATTCAACTTTTCTTCATGTGTAGCAACAAACCCCAACTTTATCAATTAGATATGCATAAAAATAAGCTCAGCATAAATTATATTTCATTTTCATACATGTTGCAGATCACATGTTTCATTCAATTAAATACAACTGACTCATTTTGCACAATTGAAACTATTTTTAATCTCTAGTAAACTGGGAAGTAGAGAAGTAAAATAATCTAAAACCATTGTTTACAAACACATTTAAGTGGGGTCAATAGTACATTACATCAAAACCAGACAAATATGACAAAACTCACCAAATAATGTTACTAAGTCTCAAAATTAAATATAGAGTTGACATTTACATAATTTTCTAAATTATTTTGAAACTTTATTTAAGAGTACCCTAGCTTGTAACCTGAACTTTTCCCCCCTCTCTTTATGTCTTACAATTTACATGCACAAGCTACTTTCATGTAAAATTTCTATTATAAAATTGCCTCATCTGTAGGAATGATACACAATGTCAGACTTCGGGAGAAGAAATGGTGAAAGTAAAAGCAGATCCACTAAGTACAAGTAGATGATTCTTTGTAATTCCTCTCCAGAGAAAGAAAGGACTTGAGATTACCTACAGATGTTCCAGACAGTTGTTCCTCATGAAAAGACCGTAAGACAAAGATCTCCAGAGGGCTAGAGCTCTGGGAGATAAGGGAAAACCATCTTCTCTTTTTCAAAGGACACTGGGTTCACATATTTCCTTTTCTAATCACTTTCAGGAATTGCTTATTGACTGCTTTTCCGCTATTAGGAACTTTTGGATCAACAAGTTTTACAGCACCAGGTGAATTTCCTTCAAGTCTTAGTGAGATAAACCTAAAAACAAGTTTAAGATCTTCAAAAACATATTTGAAATGCAGCTAAAGGGTGATTAGGACTTTGATTTTGGAAAGTTACAAACACATGAATTTGAAATAAGATTTTGGAGTTAATTATAAAATCCTTCCCAATGGAAAATGCTTTCATTTTGAATTCTTTAAAAAAAACTGATACGATGGAACTTTGAAGGTTGGACACTAGAGGGAACTAGAAGGAACTAAAGAACATAATTAAAGGAGAACATTTGACTTGCAAATACAATATTTTGACATTGGAAATATTAAAGGATATTTTTGAACAATGATTCTAGAAGTTAATTTTAAGAGTGTCTATAGATCAGGGGTGTCAAACTGCCGGCCCATGGGCCGGACACGTCACGAGGAAACCGCGCCCCCTCCATTGCCGGCAATGAGGAAAAAGCTCCGATACGTCGTGCGAGACTGAGCTGAGACTGATATGAAAGTAGATTAAAAAAACGACAGGTTATAAGAATGATATGGAAAAGATGCCATAGTGGATATACAACTGAAAACAGAGGATGTCATAATAGTTAAAAGGGATGTAGAAATACAAATCAAAAGAGCGTCCTGATAACTTTCTAATATCAGATTGATAAAACTGACTTGTTAAAACTTTGAAGAATCTTGCGAAAAGGGATAAAGAATGAAAAGAAAAATCAAGTTCTAAGACATTATTTGAATGGATTAAAATCAGTGTTGTTAAAAGTAAGGAATATAAAGTTGGTTTATTTGATCAAGGTTAAAATAGATATGTTGTTGTCTCTGGTAATTAATGGACTTTTGCTAATCAGGACCGAATGACGAGGCTTTAAGGATCTGTTTATAGAGAAGAAGTAGAATATGGGAAGAAGAGATATTTTGTCGTAATTTTAAAAAAGTGACGTTACTAAAATTGTTTATACTTGTTATGCTGAAGGGAAAAATGATTTCTTTTTATATATTTTCTTTTTCTTTACTATGATTGTATTTCTTATTTTCTTTCTACTCTATTTTTTTCTTTTCTGCATTTTCTATTTTTTTTATTCTTGTATTTTTGGTTTTTATTAGTTTTTCTTTTTAATTGTAGTTTTTAGTAAAAAATATTATATATAAAAAGGATATTTTCTGATATCCAGAAATAACATCATCTTTTGCTGTAATATTCATTTCCTTTTCTTTCCTTAATGCAAAAAAAAAATCAAGAAAAGATGAAATTTAGTTTGTTTGGTTATTAGAGTTGAGAGCTATCAGTCTGGAATTATCTTTATTCCAATATATTATTTATATCAGAATGTTGCCAGAGTTAACATATGGAATAGAATAATTAATCAATAGCATAGGTAACTTAAACCAGAACTATTATGAGATTTAGGAGTCATTAGTGATATTTAGGCATGTCTCTACTTAAGTTGGATCTGAATGCTCCTATCTAGTCTACAAGTACCTTTCATGGAAAGCAAATATTTTGATAATGAATGAGTTTTGTCATTATCACAATTCATTTTGGAGACATTTTTCAGATTATTCCCATGTGGGTAAATGAGAAACTTGATGCCACTGAAAATGTTCTCCTATGAAGATTTTTACACATGATTTAACAAGTAGCTATAACCACTGCTGATAAACATTTCCTGAAAAATATGATTAACAAATTCCAATATCCTCCACTGAAATATTTTTATATGCACTTCCAGGGGAAATAACACTTATTAGAAATGCTCCTAAGTTTTAGGTGATCTTAAACATATGAACTGTGGCAAGTTTTTTCAAGAATTTTCAATTCTACATGTAAATACAAACAATTATGAATAGAGTATTACATCTTAGCTAACTACTTTTAGAATTGGGCATTTCTACTCATAAGTAAGCTCCCAAGAATTTTAACATCTTCATCTATAAATAAAATTATAAATAAATTACAGAACTCTTTATTGTTAGGGTATATAGCCATCCCAAAAGTAAAATTACCAAGTAAATGGGCTCAATTATTGTCAATGTTTCCTACTTTCATAATATAATCGTGAAAAGGAATGTCACTTGATAGTACAAGGGAAAAAAGATAAAAAAATGGCAATTATGGGAACGAATTTATTTCTGGATCTATCACCCTTTTTGCATCCCAATGAACATTTATTAAAAAAAATAATTGCTACTGAGATTAAGCAGATTTGATTCCCATGCACACGTGCATAGGCATGCAGCCTCAGTTGATGTTTCTGACGCTCTGTCTCCAAAGAAATTAGAATTCCTCCTAAACAACAAAAAGAAGTCAGATACTGCTATTCCTGAATTATTTCTTTTCAAGGTATTCTGAATCTAAAATCACTTTTTCAAAAAAGGACTATTTCTGCAGAAAAAGCTCACTCATCTTTTATCAAAATAAAAAAATTCAGAATAGGTCAAAACCCATCCGAGAATGGATTCTACAGATTAGGCAAGTTGCAATTTTTTTCTTTTTAAATATGTATGTATGTATGTATGCATGCATGCATGTATGTATGTATGTGGATCTGTCAATCCCTTTGTCTGTTATGTTGAGCAGCTTGTATCCAAGATCCGAGGGAACTCTTGGGCTAAACAGGAAGCAGCTAGAGTTGGGGCTTGACCAGGTTGTCAATCTTTGCATTCAAAGGGGTTATGATCGGGGTCATTCTTGATAGCGAGGACTGTATTAGTGTCAACCATTCGAAGGGGCAACCTGCCAACCTTTTTGCAGTCCTAACTTTAAAAACTGGAGCCAGGGAACCAGGGGAAGCAATTATCTTGGGCCAAAGCGACGGGAATGTTTCCTATCTAGGAGGTGGACCGGCCCTACAAGTCCCTTTGTCTGCCAGGGTCCTTCCCCCACCCCGTTTCCAAGAAGGCCCCCTCGGCTGAAGGAAGAAAGTAGGGTGGGAAGCCTACCAGAGGAGACCTGCCTGCCCACCCCCGGAGCCCCTTCCTTTGTTTGTGTATCTTTCTTCGCCTTTGCCTGCCTCACGAAAGAAACGCAGCGGAAGAAACCGAGAGCTCCGGCGAGGCCTGCTGGGGCTGCCCAGGGCCGGGAGACACTTCACTTTCTGCAACTGCAGGCCCCGGACAAACCGGGTGCCAAGCAGGGAGATCCCGGAGTCCTTAGCGAACCCGCTTCCCGCATTCGGGCCCAGCGAGGGTGACCCCGCCCGCCACCCAGGGCCACCGAGGCCCCACCGGCGGGCAGAGGGGGCGCCCGCCCTTCAAAACCCCGGGCCCGCCTCGCGCTCCGGCTCCCTCGCTCGGGGCTCCTTACCGGCGGCCCAAAACGGCGGAGAGAAGGGCGGTGGCGGCGACGGCGGCGACACAACCGGCGACAGGAGGAGGTGATGAGGGGCTCAGAGCCCCCAGGCCGCCAGCAGGGCTGCAGCCCCGGGCACCATGATGGCGGCGGCGGCGGCAACTGCAGAAGCGGTGGCTTCTTCCTGCAAGCTGCGGCGGCTGGCGGGCACCAGGCCGGTCGGGAAAGCGCAGCCGCCGCAGCCTCCTCCTGGCGGTGACAGCGACGGGCCGAGCCAGAGAGCAGCGCCGCCGCCGCCGCTGCCGCCGCGGTGCAGCTTGGGAAAGAGCCGCAGCATCCGAACCCGCCACCAGGCTCGACCCGCGCGCGCCCTCTTCGGAAGGGACGCGGGGAGCCCGCCCGGGGGCCGTCGCTGTAACTTCGGGGGAGAGGGGTGGTGGTGGTGGTCCCGTTCCTTCTTCTCCGGCCCCGGCGCTGGCTTCGGTGGCTGGGGCACGGCTGAAAATCCCGGCCGGGAAGGAAAATGAAAGGAGCAGAGAGCAGGTGGATCCCTCAAGGATGCCTTCCGGAAAAGTATAAAGAAGCCGCCCTGGATATTCCCACCGAGCAGCGGTTCTCCACGTGGAGTCTGGGCACCCCCGAGAGCTTTCAGAGGGTCCACCAAGAAGTCCAATAAATAAACATTGTAAAAGTTCTCCCTTTTAATCCCTAATCCAGTAAATAGCGAGAGGTACCATCCGCGTACAATCAAAGTTTTTTGGGATCCTCCATCATTTTTAAGAATATAAAGGGATCCCGAGACCAAAAAAATTGAGAACCGCCGCAGTAGAGAAGTATCCGCGGCGCCTTTAAACACAACGGTCTGGTTTTGAGTATTGCGAAGCCAACACCCGCATTTAGTAGGTTGGGGAAACAGAAAATTCGGTTGTGTGAACTTTTGATTGATCAGCATAAATATATAGGGCAGGCACTCCAACCTAGGTTTCTTTCAGAAAAAACATTTATTTTATAATTAACATTTATTTTGTAATTAACATTTATTTTGTAATAAATTTAAATAATAAAAATAAATAATAAAAAGAACCTTCCTTACTGATTGGATTTTAGGGAGTCTCCCAACTTGTGATCCTTGTGATCCTCTTGCATTTTAAATAGCTTTACAGATTTCTGCACATCCAATCCGTTAAGGGAGGAGAAAGTCAACTGTACTATATATTTTTTTTTTTTCCAAATATAAATTTTTTATTATTTTCATCATAAAAAAAAGCACATCACAGATACATCACAATGTAAAAACCCCTACCCCCCACCCCCCACCCGGACTTCCCAAACCTAATCCCAGGATACTATTCAACTAAAAGTAAAACTGTACTATATATTTTTGATAGTACTAGAATCCATTTATCTAGGTACACCTCTCAACATATATTTTGAAATGAATGGGAGAGGCAGAGTATGCATTAGTAATTTGGATCCCAACATTAAAAAAATTCTAATAGTTTATAACAGTGCTTTTTTTTCTATAAAAGAAAAGGTGCCGGAACTCACACACGTCATACAACCCACCTTGCCTACCCTACAAGGTTCCATCCAAAAAAGGTGCCGGAACTCCGTTCTGGGCGTTCTATGAGAAAAAAAAGCCCTGGTTTATAAAACAGGAAAAAAACAAATGTGTATCCTGAAGTAAAGAGATGCAGAAGACTATATATGTATAAATGTTTTTACAGAAGGAAAGCATTGTTAAAGATGACTTGAAAGCAGTAAGGGGGAGGAGGAAAAATCCACCACAGCTGCAGAGTTTTCTCTGAAAATGCTCTGTTCTTAATGCCATCATTTTTTTCTTGGTGTCCTGGCCAGACAGCAAGGCCTCAAATAGTACTCTTGTTCTTCGGGATGCAAGCAGTCTTTCAGATACTAAGTGCAGCCCATTAAAGGTTTAAACTGGCACTTTAATTTGCTGGCAATTAATTGGAATATCAGCGTAGCATGTGCTGACTGCTTTGCTCTTACAGTATTGATCATTTAGTGGCTATGTTTTTAACCACTTGCAATTTCTAAATCATTTTTAAAGATACGTATTCAAAGATAAGAAGTGCAGGCATGTATTCTTTAATAACAAGAACAATTGTCTTCGTTCTATCTATTCCTCATAAATTATTCCTTCCTGGCCCTTCATCCTTACCCTCTGGACATGCTTGTCGACAATCTTCCTAAAATGCACATATCCAGAAAGGGATGCAATATTATCTGAATAAAAATATCCACAGCAGGGATAATATGCCCCCAGCCACTTTATATTGCCACTGTGACAACATCAAATCTGCCTGTATTTAGTGATCTATCATCACACCAATGAATAGATGACATTATGAATTGCTAGTGTGGAAATCTTCAGGGATAGTGTGACTCTGAAAAATCAAAGAAATTACTTTAACATTTGTCAATATTGGTTTAAAGTTACCACAGTTATTCATTAATGACATTTATACAGACATCCAACTCCAATAATGTAATTCTGGGCAGTGTACAAAAAAGACCCCATTTACAACAAATGGAAGAAAAGGCAGACTTGAATTTTTTATATGAATTAATCTAAAACAATTAGATTATTGCTTATTGCTTATTGGTTCTTATTGCTTGCTCACTTAACCTGCCTTACTTCCTTTATAGGTACCTTACCACCGCATCTTATTTTCCCTTCCCTCATATACTTACATGACAAGTATAGTCAAAATTATATTATGATCATTGACCAACTGTAGTGGGATATAACCATTAAAAAGAAGCATAAAGGATTTAATGTACCAAGAATGGAAACAAAAATCTAAAAAAATTATAAAAAGCTAGAAGATATAAATTATAAGTTAAAAACTAAAAGTATATATAAAAAGCGAGAATCTGCAAGGAGTTGTGGGAGCTTTAGATGAGTGTAGGGGAGCATAAAAAGTTAGCATGTGGAAGACTATATCAAGTTATAAAGTGTTCTAATATGGCAAAGTAGCACCCATTAGTTTTAATTTATAAAGTTGAGTTCAGGTCATCATCCAATGAATTTTGAGCACTGCTGCATAGAACATCTTAATATTGTATGTTGGATTGGTGTCTGAAAGCAACAGGCTTATGTAAAATTCTCCTGTGCGCCCTGGGTATTTATATATAATGATAAGATGAAACAGGACTACAAATATCTCTGTAATACAGGCACTGGAGAAACAAGTCCTGTTGGTTCTATGGTGTATATCCAGACTCACAGAGCATTGTGTTTCCAAATTAGATATCTTCTTCTAAACAGGACAATTAAAATACATTAAAGTATTCTTGAGTATCTGCTTCCAGAAAGCACTTCATGAAAATGATCCAAACCAACCTCCAAGATCAGCCAGTAGACTCATTTGAAAGATCAAACTTGACAATACAATCACAAACCTAGGAAATGTGGTGAATGAAAAAGTTCAGGAACCAGTGCTGGGGACTGCAGGAACAACATGAGCCAGAAAAATATGACTTCTAAATTATGAACAATAGGTGTCAGGGAAATGGTTATTTTTAAAGCAAGGTGAGAGGGGCAAGCAAATTATATGGCAGGGATAAGCAATAGATTTAATAGCATTGGTCAGTTCTCATATATCTTTTTGATACTGAATTATCAACAAAAAGGTCCCTTCCACCTTTAGATTATGATAGTGAAATTTAAAACATGGCAAGGAGTTGGAGGCTAAGAGTGGCTCTTTGGGGAAAAGGACTGGAGGTTTAACTCTTACGAAAAAGAAAAGACTCCCCCATGTAAAGACAGATTCTTGGTGACTAGAAAAACTCATCCTTATATTTGCATGGCAACCATGCAGAATTGACTTGCCATGGCCTTCTGTGGTGTGATTTTTTTTTAAATTTTCCAGTAGATTTCTGAAGCTCTAAACTGGTTAACTCTTTTTTCTAACAAGCTAATAAATACAATATTGGCCTTTGGAAGGTGAGAAGGGCTGCTGTTGTGGGCCAGAATCAGGATTTAAGAGATGAAAACACAAGGAGCGAATGAGCAAATAATGAAGTAATGGCTATAGGTTAATTTGTAAATGTTCAAGGTAAAAGAATCCAAACCTTTGCACAAGGCCTAGTAATAAATTTCTCTTTAGAATCTCAGTCAGCACTCAGGTACTAACATCAGAAGAGTCCAGGACAAAGCTGAAATAGATAATTTTGATCCATCTAGTACAGTAGTAAGGATGGCCTAAGCAACACCATTCCAGGAAAGATCTCTTGCCCCAACCTGGAAGATTATTTAATTTTGTATTTAAACAAGCATTCAATATGGGACAGCACAAAACAAAAATGGCAGCTTAAAACTCCAATGTGAGGAGCAACAAAAATTGATTAAGAATTAAAAGCTTGGCCAAAGCAATTCATCTTTAGGTTTTCTCAACACCCAAAATATTATGAGCAATAAGCAGCTGATAACCAGTGCAGGCTTTCAGTACAGTCTTCTTTGTCTCTTGCAAAATAAAAGCCTAGTTTTTGCGCTATTTGCAACTTCTGGATATTTTTCACGCTAAAATAGATGAGAATTACTACTAGATCCATCAGATTTGAGAAGGATTGCAACCAGCTCCATAGCCAAACTACCATAGCCACAGTAATTTCAGGACAGCTGAAGTTGAAGAAATATTCCCAGAGCATTTAGTTGCAATTTCATCCCAGGTATTTGCTTTCTGGTCAGTGTACAAATTCTTCATTAGGATGATGAGGCAGCCTGGTGTGCCCAAGTTTTTAAAGAGCTATTTGCATTTTGTTGTGCCTTAAATTATCAAAAGCCTTGGTACAATCATAGATACGTTTTGGAGCTCCTATACAATTCCTGAGATTCATCTTGGATCCCACAAGATACAGGTAGTCCTCAACTTACAAACACAACTGAGCCCAAAATTTCTGTTGTGAAGTGCATTTTGCCCCATTTTATGACCTTTCTTGCCACAGTTGTTAAGTGAATGACTGCAGTTGATAAGTTAGTAAGCTGGTTGTTAAGTGAATCTGGCTTCCCCATTGACTTTGCTTGTCAGAAGGATGCAAAAGGTGCTAACATGTCCTTGGGACACAGCAATGGTCATAAACATGAACCAGTTGCCAAGCATATAAATTTTGGTCAC